GCTCACAGTGGTCCAAGTGTCCACTCAGGGAGTTTGTGTGTTCAGACACATGAAACATTAGAGGGAACATTGGTCACAAACACTGGTCACAAATCTGTCTAAATGTGTGTTCGTGAGAACTTCTCGTTAGCTGAGATCATCCATCCCACCTCACAGGTGCTGATTAGACAATACTGCACAGGTGTGTCTGAGACTGCCCACAGTAAAAGGCCACTGTGATGCCGTACATGTGTAGCACAATGACACACAGGTCGCAAAACCAGTCGTGATCTGGTTCAGCTCATGGAAACAAAAGTGTTGTGTTTATATTTGTGTTCAGTGTAACAAATACTGAGACGTGTAATAATGTCGTGTGTTGTTCATCTGAGGACGCTGCAAAGAACCAGATTGTTTTTATTATCCTGTTTGTCTGTGAACCTTTAGACAGGATGTACCTTATAATGACTGAGTGTGTTAAATGTAACTGTGAGCGACACGAGGCTCATGGTTACCTCGTCAGTGGTGAAGTCAGCCAGCTTGATGCAAGAAACAGGAAGAACAAAAGGATGAAAGAGCAACACACAGATGAAAAACAAAAACAGACGTTATAACAGAGCTGAGATCTGAACATGTCACCAGCTGCAGGAGGCAACGCTCTGAACCACGTCGTTCTCCTCCAGATGGAGCTTGTGCTGCCTATGATACTGTATCAGCTGAGCCTCAGACTCTTATGATCTCGAGCTTCTTCAGTCTCAGTGAATCCTTAGTTGGCTCAGATGCATCACCTGGTGTTTGAGTGTAACAAGGTGTGTAAACAGGTGAGTGTGGTTTGTAGTGTAGACTAAAGCAGCGTCTAACCAACCACATCTCCAGGGCTGAATCAGGTGACCACGAGTCATCGCTCCACAGCTGAAGGAGCTACAACCCTCATGCACCCTTTCACACACATACAGCAATGAACTGTATGAACAACAAACTTTATTCATACACACAAACCCCTTTAGGGTTGTGTCAGCGAGGGCAAACGTGCCACATCAAATACATGGAGCTGTGGTGACCCACTGTCAGTAAGGAAGCTTTATTACACACACACAGCATCACAACAACAGTTAGCTCAAGCTGCTCCTGTGTTATAAGACAAAGACCCTGCAGTAACACAGGAAACATCAGGTGACCGTCTGTGAGCGACAGCGGGAACCAAAGCTTCTAACAAACATCCATCGATGAGGGGCAGACGGGCTGAATGCAGAGAGGTCTGTTAACACATGTTGAGTGAAGAAGAAACACCCAGTGCATCATGGGAAACTTAGACCTGTAACTTAGACCTGTGCGCCTCAGCATATGCTACTTCCGGCGTATAGTGCTTAGTTTCCAGTGTGATATTCGCTCCTTGTTTACGGTCGGGTTTTCAATCAAATGGACGAATCAAGCAGCGATTTACATTTCTCGAGATGTCGAATGTATCTGTAGAGGATGTTCATCGACTTGTTGATATTTTCCCCCCGCGCCTCACAGAGAGACAGGATTCAAATGTTATACTTCTCAGTATCTGTAAACAGCGCTCCCTCGTTTATCGCGGGAGTTACGTTCTAAAAATAACCTGCGATTGGTGAAATCTGGAGTAGCCAACTTTATTTTTTACAATTATTTTAGATGTTTTAAGGCTGTAAAACCGAACACTACACACTTTATACACTCAGACATGAACATTTTCACACGTTTCTCTCTTGTTTAAAAGTCCAAACCTTCGTAGACAAATGAGTCCAGTATTACAGACACCAAAGATCAAACCGTGTTTTCAGGTCCAGCACATGAGAACAGAGCAGCTGAGAGATAATTCAACATCAATGAATCAATGAATCATTAATGAATCAGTGAATCAGCGATTCTGTACTGTACAGGAGAGACGGCACGGAGGAGATCAACAATAGTCTGCAGCCAATCAGGACGCAGAACACAAAGACCAAAAAAAAAAAAAAAAAAAAAAGCATGCAAACTTGCACGAAAAAGCTGCATTATAGCGAGGGACCGCTGTAATGTAAGGTACGTCATAACATACCCTTCGTAAATACTCATGCATAGAGACCCTTACCACGGTTTGTTGACATGCTGTGTAGGTGTGTACTTGACCAGCAGGGAAACCTTTGACTGTTGTTCACCTGTAGCTTGAATGCTGTTTAAATCATAGTAACTGTCACTATACAGCAGTTCTGCTTGTGTTGAGTGATGTAAACAACTGATCGATCTGCACGCGTCGAACGTCAAAACTGATCATTAGATTTTTTATGACACAGCAGTGGCGAGTGTTCCCGCCTCTGCTCTTTGTAACTTAATGTGATCTTTCTGTTTTCGTGTTTTGGACATGACTTTGGATTCCACCTTCGCAGCAGCGATTGACCGCAAAGTAAAGCTACCGGAAATGTACAACCCTGCATCCGATCTTAAAACAGAAGTTAGCATTTTCTCGTGCACAGGGTCTATTGCAGACTAATCAGGGTCACCTGGTCCAGCCCTAACTATATGCTTTAGCAAAAAGGAAAGTTTGAAGCCTAATCTTAAAAGTAGAGATAGTGTCTGTCTCCTGAATCCAAACTGGAAGCTGGTTCCACAGAAGAGGGGCCTGAAAACTGAAGGCTCTGCCTCCCATTCTACTTTTAAATACTCTAGGAACAACAAGTAGGCCTGCAGAGCGGGAGCGAAGTGCTCTAATAGGGTGATATGGTACTACAAGGTCATTAAGATAAGATGGGGCCTGATTATTTAAGACCTTGTATGTGAGGATTTTGGATTCATGTTCCAGTCGATGCATCAGAGTCAATCTGGGATCCAGTGTGGAGCACATGGACACGTTTAAGGCTTAAAGAACAAACCGATGATTCGATTAGATACTCGGCTCCATCTCTGGAGTCACCAAAGCTTTGTTTCTGCTAACACTGTAAACATATACAAATGCACACTAATAGTTGTTACTGTAGGAGATCTGCTCCACTGTGGAGAGAGCTGCACAGCTTTGTTCCTGCAGAAGTATCACAGTCAAACTGATAATTCTTCAGTTTTCATCGATAGTTAGACAGACTGGTTCTTATAGCTCTGAACGAGCTTCACAGCAGCAATTGTGTGTCAGGAAGAAACAACGTTACAATAGAGCAGACTCTCCTGACACTGACAGACAACACCGCGACTTTACATCAGTGCTGACCACTTCCTTCCTGTTTCATCTACATGATGAAATAAAACAGCGCTGACTTCTTGTTCTAGGACCGGGACACCGACCTATTCTTGATGCTGATATTGAATAAGTGGTTGACTGGTGTGTGTACCTCTAAAGATGTCTCGATAGATGACTAATACATGACTGTATACATGAAACTGGCAGCAAGACGTGGGAAGGACACGGAGGCGGAGTGGGAGTTACCCTCTGAGCACTGATGAAGAGTCTGTGGATGATACTGCCAGCCAGGCCCTGGCCTGCTCCTGTCACCACCACCTCTGGCTCCTCCAGCAGCGAGCTCACAAACCTGGAGACAACACAATGTGGAAAATGTTACAATATTCCCACAAAACAAACATTTAAATAAAAACATGTAAAACCTGAAGACACCAAAACTATAAATAAGACCAACAACATGAGCGAGAAAGAAACTGTAATCCTTCAGACGCCGTCTTTGTGAAACGTTAACAGATTCATCGTGACAACCTGATACCGACAAACTATCTATCGTGACGGTGACAACGGTTACATGTTACCAACAGCACAAACAAAGTCAGTGAGCGCAGCTCAAACTCACTTCTTCAGCTCATCAGCAGCCTCTCCGCTGTCGTCCTCAGGAATGGAGAACTTGGCCTTGAGCGAGCGAGCTTGAGTGATGACCGTCTCCATGCTCAGCAGCTGGTTAATGAAATCCTGCACACAGGACAAGAACGACTGTCTGCTCAATCCTGACAGCACGAGACCCCAAGACGGTCACATTCATACACATACGTGGTTTTTCCTGCGTCGAACGTTATGGGCGGAGTCTCGGGGTGTAAAAGGCGTGTTTGGGGTCACAGTGGATACATGGCATACTTAAATGTACTTTGAGAAAGCCAAGAATACTTTTACACAACAAGACATGTTTTGAAACTCTGTCCAGTCAAGCTGAACTAACATGGTGGGGTGCAGCTGTGCAGCTGTGCAGCTGTGCAGCTGTGCAGCTGTGCAGCTGTGCAGCTGTGCAGCTGTGCAGCTGTGCAGTGTTATTCAGAGAAATGGGGCCATATGGAGACTCAGTGCTAGTGAGAAGAACATTTTATATGTGAAGAAGTGATGATTGCTCTCAGACTTTAGGACAGGATTAAAGCAGGTGTTTAATGCAGCTAACGTGTGATCAAACTCAATAATAACAATCTCAGTCTCTGTTTTCGATCACTGATAAACACATCTGATATCAGCAGAGTGTAAAAGCTTTGAGCCCAGGTGGGAACAGCCGAAGGAATTACTTAAAAAGTTAGCCATCACTGAGGAGGCACTGGAGTTTGTTACTCCAGCTCCCACTACAATCCCACCACACCCCTGTTTTCATGGTTCAACCATCAACGGTCATAATAATTATCAGCCAAGTTCTCAGCCATGGTGCACACTGTCCAAGCACCTCACGTACAGCACATACTCAACTACAACACAAACACAGTTAACAATCAATAATTTATTTAAAAACAAAACTTGTTTGGGTGAATCTAATGATACTTTCTGTTAAATTATTTGTGTCCGGTCGAGTTTTCACTGACCTCTAACTTCTTGTAGTCCTGGTTGGGGGACTGCAGCAGCTTGCTCGCTTGAACTGTAGCTTGCTGAAGGGTTTTTTGCACTGATGGAATATCTTCAGCAGACTCTGAAAGAGAAGAAATGACAGTGACAGAGTGACAGGAAGCTGCAATTAAAGGAAAGACCTGTTACTGTTAGCATGAGGAAAAAAGCCTAAAATCTAGTAAACCTGCAAACTATTATCTTACTAATACAGATCCTTTTGAAATAAACAAACATTTATAATAATCTTTACAGAGATTAAAACATATCCACAAAGTCTTGATGGATTATTATTGGAGTTAATTATTCCAGCTATTTCAGAGGATCACAGAACACATCTGCAAATAGAAATTAGGCCTTTTGTCCAGGAATATACCCACATGTGCTTTGGCAACAGTGGGAAGGAAAAACTCCCTTTAAACAGGAAGAAGCCTTCAGCAGAGCCAGGCTCAGGGAGGGGCGGGGCCATCTGCAATAACCGAGTACAATAAGCTCAGTTTGATCTGAATTAAGAAGCAGAAAGTTAGTGGCCATCCAGGTCTTTATGTCTTTAAGACATTCCTGCAGTTTAACTAATTGGTGTGTGTTATCTGGCTTCATGGACAGATAGAGCTGGGTGTCATCTGCATAGCAGTGTAAATGTATGCTATGTCTTCTAATGATGCTGCCTAAGGGAAGCATGTATAATGTAAACAGAATTGGTCCTAGCACTGAACCCTGTGGAACTCCATAATTAACTCCATAATTAACTCCATAATTAACCTCAGTGTGTGAAGAGGACTCTCCATTTACATGCACAAACTGGAGTCTATTAGATAGATATGATACATTCACATGTTATCAGCACGGGGCGTCTCTGTCAACCTCTGGAAGCTTTTAGTAAGTGTCATAAGATCAAAATACATTTAAGAAGTGAAACGAGGACATTATTGTTGTGTCCAAGCTATTTTTTGTATTTTGTAGTCCAGACTTAATCAGAATTAATTTGCATACCACCTGGATATGCACCAAAGCATTTTTGACCTGCTGAAACATTCTGGGATATTACAGAATAAATGAAAACTAGCTTTCTGGTTTAATTAGAGAAACGGTCTGAGTATCACAGCTGATTGAGGTTTCTCCAAAGTACTAGAAAACTCCTCAGTGATGTCCTTACTGGTGTCTCTCATTGGCTGTCTCTAGACTCAGAGCTGGTCTTAGCTCTTATTAGCTAAATTAATGGCTGCACTGCAGGTGTCAGGGTAACAACAGCAACATGACTGAAAGCTTCTTCTAAAAACCAGATCAAATTATGCCCTGCTAATGATCAATTTATTGTGTGTAGAATAAAATAAAGAGTGGCTTTTATCTGATTTCTGATCCTTACTGGAGAAAACTTGACTGAAAATTCATGTTGGGGAAACTTTCCAGGCTCCTTTCACAGTGAGGGTTGGGCAGCTAGTTGGAGTAAACGAACTGAATCACATTTACCTGCATTTGAACACCAGGGTCATGTTCTACCCATCAGGCCTACGCAGCCCTGAAAATATCACGTGTCCATCTCTGATACTTATAAGAGCTCAAACTGGCCCTGATGGAGTCCAAGGGCCTGCAGAACACATCTTGAGCCCAAATCTTGGGGGGTTCAGGATTTGGGCTTTTTCTGCAGCTCATGGCTGCATTCACTGAACCACAAACTCATCTGTGCACCAAAGTACACAGTGAGACGTCTTTACCCTCACATCACTGGACACTTCCAGGTTTGGGTTCCAGTCACTCTATACCAGTGGTGCCCAAATCTCTTTGCATCACAGCTGTGATACAGAGCGGCTGTGTGGGCGGAGCCTGTTTTGTTGCACAGTGCCGAAATAAAAAGGGTCGTGTTTTGATGTGATGACGGTGTCAGTGCAATCAGTCATTACATCACTCAGCTCAGGACTGAGCTGCCAGCGTGTATCATACATTGCGTGCACGTGCAGCCCTCCTGGCTTCCCAGCCGCCGCGCCCCCGTCTGCCCACACGGTCCTCACGTTTCAGTCAGTGATTGTAAAGAGTTCCTCTGCAGTGGCTCTGCCAGGAGAAGTCATTCCTTTGTCACTATCAGTGGCTGCATCCACCTGCTGCCATGCACCTTATCATTAAGCACTCGATAGGCAACTTTACAGGAGCAGAGCACAGATGCAGTTGAGCACGACCGTTTAGAAGTGTGCGTCTGAAAAAGCACTCTGACTTGTCTTTGTGCTCTGGATGTTTGGCGTCTTAGCTCGTTAAGCTTCAAACTGTCACAAACTTGCACTTTAAGACGGACACGCTGCAGCCTCTGCTCATCAGCCACCACTGTGCAGGTGTGCTTCATCTGATCTTCTTTGTGTTTGTGTTGAGCCCCGTCACAAGCCTGTGCATTATGCTGGCAGCGTCCAAGACTTCTACTTTTTTATTCTGTTTGTTTTTCTCCATTAACATCTCGGGTTGCATTTTATTCTTTTACTTATTTTAATATCTTTAGTTTTTTGTATTTCGGTCTGACTGTTCTGTAGTTTACCTGCTGAGTTATTTTCACTGATTTTATTTCATATAAACGTGTTTTTCAACCAAACGCTGAGGACTTACCTTCTTCCTTCAACTTCAGGATAGTTGCATGAAGGATACAGGGCAGGAGATGCCGGGCCAGGTCTGCAGGTTTCTGCATCGCCATGTAGTGCAGAACCTAAAGACAAACCTCCAAAAGTTTAGTTTGCCTGGCTCCTGTTTTCCTTTTGCTCTTTCAGATCAACAGGATATTTGTGCACAGCCAACCGGCTGCCTCTGAAGAAGACTCCAGATAAACGGTGACCTTTCTCTATGATGGTTATTCACAGAGGCACCAGTCATACCCAGATCTTTAAATCTGTCATAAGACTATCAGTGACATTATTTTTAACTTTCTCTTTCTGGATAAACAATGTCTTTAAAAGACAGGCAACATTTTCAGAGATGGTGCAAACTGGAGCTCCGAGCTTTCATATGTGCAGGAAGAACATGCAGGGACCTGCCCGGGTCCACATCCAGGACCCTCTTTGGGTGAGGAAACAACTAAGCCCAGTTACTGTTTGTCCCTTTCCCATAAAGCCGGATCATTAATGGAAGCTGGTTTAAAGTTGTTCTTCATTTAACACCATCACCCCACAGAGAGCTGCTGTGTGTCAGTTAAACATCCTTTTTCATCAACATGTGAAAATGCTTCAACGTGTCCATGAGCACAGATGTTAAACTGACTTCTCCAACAGACATGAGCCCAAACGGCCCCATGGCACAAGCTGATCCTGAAAACCAGCAGAAACACTCATGAAAACACTTCGTGATCCACTTCGTGAACACGCTTAAAACACGCATGTGGCAAAACGAACGACCTGCTTCAGACCTTCTCGGCCTCCTTGGTGTCATCAAAAAGTCTTTTTTGGCGCCGTGCAGGTGTGACCCTGGCAGTCTCCCAAGCCTCCACCCACATGTTGCCTGGGATCTTCATCCTGGGACTGAGTGTCCCCGTCACCATGGCGTTGCCCTTCTCATCGACCACTTCCTCTTCCACGTAATCCCGAGGTGAATACCAGCGCACAAAATCCTCCAGGACACAGCCGGGGTTGGCTGCCTGTGGACACAAACCCGTACTTTAAATGAAGTAATGTGTAAATATATTCACCGACACCTCATACTGGCACTGACGACTCTCTAAGGCTACGTTCACTCTGCAGGTCTTGATGCTCAATTCAGATTTTTTGATCAAATCCGATTTTTTTGTCTGCTCGTTCACACTACAAATAAAATGCGACAGCAAACGCGCTCTAGTGTGAACGCTCAAAGCGGCGCATGCGCAAAAGAAGACGTCACACACAACGTGCTCTGTTTAGACCCAGACCAACAGTATTGTTTGACTGATGACCTTAATATAAAGACTTCGGACTTTACGTTTCCCAATTTTTGCTTTAAGTTATTTTATTTACATAATAATGTA